CGAAACATTCGACAAAGTGACTCTTGCTTTCCGTTTCCTGTCATATCCCGTTTTAACGTAAAGTGTTATGGCATAAAGAGAAAGGGAATAATAATAAAAAACAAAAACAAATATAAAAGAGCCACTCTTTGTGCAATACAAAATCACGCATTAATTAGATTTATAGGAGCGGAGAGCACTAAAAACACGGGCTGTCAAAGGCACACACGTCGAGATCGAAGTGCAAAAGAAGCGAAACAAGGACTAGGGAGAGAAAGAGGGAAAGAGAGAGAGAAAGATAGAGAGAGAGAGAGAGAGAGAGAGAGAGAGAGAGAGAGAGAGAGAGAAATCGAATGAAAACGCGCGTACAACGCACGCGTTTCAGCGTTTCGCCGAAATATCGGGATCGTAATAGTTGTCGCGATGCGAAACGACGCGCGGAAAATATCTGAAGAAGCGCGCGACGTTGTGAAAAAATCAGGACGCCGAAGGCGAAACGTCGCGCGAATCACCGAGACGAAAATGGATGAAATGCCGACAGAGAGAGCGAAACGTGGAAACGAAGGGTTGGCGGCGTTCGGTGAAAGACAGAAGGGTGTTCCTTGGAGGGTGCTCGCGCGCGCGGAGCTGCCTGGTTCGGTGGTAGAGTTTGAATAATGCAGACTTGCAACGCTGCTTAAAAGTGATCGGTTTGCCTCCCCCACCTCCGCCCCCTTCGTGCACCTCTTTCTCCCTCCTCGCTCATGTTTCCGCCGCCATGTCTTTCTCCTCCCCCCTCTCTCTCTCACCTTTCTTCTTATTCTCTCTCTCTCTCTCTCTCTCTCTCTCTCTCTCTCTCTCTCATTCTCTCTCTTCTCGCCGACGATCCCTTTAGAATCCCACTTCCAGTTCGTCTTAGAGTACGAACTAAGATTGATTTTAGATTGGGTGGGAATTGGGAATAGCGGGCCTGTTACTCTCTGGCAGCCCATTCCGTCCTCCCTTTACCCTTTCTCTTTCTCTCGCCATCGTTCCCTTCCATCGAGGTGCCATCTGACCTTCTTCTCCTTCCCCTTCTCTCTCTCTCTCTCTCTCTCTCTCTCTCTCTCTTTCTCTTGCTCCCTTTCTGTTACCTATCTTCGTGTACACGCGCGCTTACACATACCTCGGCTATGTAATATGTTCATGTAACTGGAAAAGGCGTCGAGGGTGCACTGTACTTGCAACTGCACTCGAGAGTTATTCCCTCGGCGATTAGAGCGAGAAAATACAGAGAAGAAAGATTTATAGACGTCGGTTCTCTCTTTCTCTTTCTCTTCCGACGCGCGCTAACGCGTTTCGTTAACTTTACGTCGCGTGACACGCATCTACACTCTGCCACAATCTGTCAACTATCCAATTACTTCATTTCACGTTGCTCTTGTGCCTACTTGTGTTTTATTATCATACGTGTATGCTGCATGTACGGGAACGTGTCTAAACAGATATTAAATATATTGTATTGACGGATCTCTTCTCGCCGTTGGTTCGCCTAGTCGCTCGCTTCACGCTCAATTTAACGTGTTTCGCTGAGTCTATAATCGCCGACGGCACGAATGGAATTATGGAAGAAGAACGTCCACCTCTTTGTGAACGTGACCGTGTATAAAAGCTGGTCTTGCTGGGCAAGATTTATCCTAGCCGGCGATCAACCCTCCCAGGGGAGTATAAAAGTGCCAAATTAGAGTGGTACAGCGAGAGACTGGGCTGGTGCCGTGCCTATATATAGGGCAGGGCGAAAGCCCGCATTGCGGAATGAGAGATCGCCTATCGGGCTATCACTGCTTCCCTCCGCACGCCCGCCGCGATGCCAATTTGCGAGAGATCGCAATTCCAGATGATGCGGGAGCATTTGAATCGGGACAATCATTTAAACTGCCATTTAAGGTCTCGCCAGAACACCGTCTACTCGCACATTCGACGACTGGCAACCAATGACACGTGCTGTGATATATGTCCGCGCGCCTCGTCGTTACATTTAAGACGTCGTCCTGCTTCTTTTTCCCTCGATGTCGGTTTCTCGATAAGAACATGCGTGACACCGACACGGGCCGCAACGCGCAAATCGATCGGATTACGCGTGCTGGAACACAACACTGCTTGCTGCGCTTACGCATTCGCGTTCAATCGAGTACATTTCGTCCTCCATCTGTTCGTTCCACTTCACAGCGCCGTGTCATTTGAAAGAGATCACCGAAATAAAACTGCCAATAGTGGCCTTTGTTTTCCGAGCCTAAAGAGATGTAAAAGCGGATATCATTCGATATCGCGCGAGAGACAGATAAAAATGTCTTCAGCGAACGAGATTAACCGAGCAGCTCTGAAGCGTCCGTTACAAAAATGCCTCACGACGTGACGCGTTGATTCGATTTGCCCCGTTTTATCGTTGTAACCTGCGACAACGACGACGACGACGACAACGACATGGTCATATCTATCCTGGGACGCGCCGACCGAAACGCCGCATTGCAGGCGCCCTTTCGAGACAACCGTCTGGAATCGGTGTTGCTATTTTTCCATTCACGTAGACACCACTTGTATCCACGAAATTTATGAAACTTCACGGGAAAGTACGAGATTCCGCTCGTGCGTTCGCTACTTTGAGAGTTTGGTTACTTCATAGTGCTTCTCTCTCTTTCGCTCGCTCTGATCTTCATCTCTCTATTTTGCGAAAGTTTCACTTCTCGCTATCCGCCTTTACCCTTATTATCTTACTTTTATATTCACGATGATAAAATGTATTAAACACACATCGGAGGTCGAGGGTCAACTCTTTGCTCGCGACTGCGCAATTTTTTCAGACGAGAAGCAGGGAGTGAAAGGGACGCGCTCATTTTCACGACGTCGTTATCGTCGAGGCCCAATCACAGAGACTGTGCTATTTGGTTGTAGTCGGTAAATGGAAATCGTCATGTCCGCGAGCCAGAGAGGATAAACGGGATAATGGTCGGCGGTCTACATTTTGAAAATGATTCGCACGGCGATCGAGCGAGTGCGCGGGCGCGCGCGTTCCCGCGAGATCGATGCGCCAATAATTTCCTATGACGATCACGGCTCGCTCGACTCGCCCGACATTATTCATCGGGCGGAATTCCGAATAAAACAACCGACGCACGGCGGAATCACGTTAAAAGCTTTCTAGCTCTTTCCGCCAAAACGATTCTCCGTGCTTCTCTCCCTCGTCCATCCGATACGTCTCTTTCCTTCTCTTTCTCTCTATCTATCTATCTTCCTCGCTGCCTATCATCACTCTCTGCCCTTTCACTTCCCGTCCACTTTTCCTCTATCTTCAGTTCCTATCCATCTCTTTAGCCTTCTGTAATCCAACATGCCGGCGTTGAAAAGCGCGAGCGGGCGAGCAAGCGAGAGAGCGGATGCTGAAGCTGAAGCGTGCGGCGAGCGAAACGAAAGGGACAGTGGGGGGAAGAAAAGGCAACGGATGAAACGGGGAGAGAAGAAGCACCTTGGAAATAAATTTCATAGTACAATTCATGGAAAGTGCCAGTCGCCGTTAACACAACACATCGAAATGCTCTCTCTCTCTCTCTCTCTCTCTCTCTCTCTCTCTCTCTCTCTCTCTCTCTCTCTCTCTCTCTCTCTCTCTCTCTCTCTCTCTCTCTCTCTCTCTCTCTCTCTCTCTCTCTCTCTCCCTCCCTCTCTCTCCCTCTCTCTCCCTCTCTCTCTCCCTCTCTCTCTCTCTCTCTCTCTCTCTCTCTCTCTCTCTCTCTCTCTCTCTCTCTCTCTCTCTATCTCTCTCTCTATCTCTATCTCTCGTTTTGCCTGTGTAAATGCGATGGTGTAACAAGAGCTGCTACGAAAATGGAGGGTGAGTGGAGGATACGAAGTTCTCGGATAAAAAGGATTAATTGCTCTCACCGTCGTTACCCCTTTTCCGCGCGGTAAGAAACCGATACAATGGCTCATTATCGCAAACTTGGGGTAAGAAGAGGGGGCGATTGAGGCGAGCTCGATCGGGAGAAATATTTTCGCTCGCGTATCGCGCGCGTCGTTCGCGCGGAAGGGGAGACCCTCGTCGACAATCAATGGTTTATGTGCAACCCTTCGTAAATATATAATCCCGGCTCTTTTTTCTTCTTTCTCTCTATCTGTGTGTAATCTCATGCTTTTCATAGGAAGCATGACGAATCGAAAATTACGCCAAGGGAAACGGAAAGCGCAACATACAAATTTATTAGCAAAGGCGCGCACTAACGCGAACGAACGTGCGCTCGCTCGCGAGTATACTTTGCATTCCGTTTCTGCGGTATCTTAAATTGGCCGAAATCGGCGTACGATTACTATCGATCGCACTCACATCGTGAAACATCGGGACGCGAATTCGCGGCGACGGCTTTCCGACCAGAGTAGTGGCGAAAGTGAATTTTCGAAATCTGCTTGGTTTAGACACGAAGACGTGCCGGGAATTCCGATCGCTGCGGCTGTTGCTGCCGGTCAAATTTTTATCACGTTTGTTCAGCAACTTATTGATTCGAATAGGCGATCGATGCGAATCATGGGCGACGCGGTGTCTGAAACGCATTTTATACGCTGCTCCGGAAGACCATTAGGGAGACGCTGATTATACCGCTGCTTTATTCTCGGATGACACATTTATGAGCGAAATAAAAGCCCGACAATGGGCGACACGGGTCGCGACGGAGGCCAATAGCGCACTGCGTCGGGAAATAAGTGGAGTCTGTGCGGAATAATGTTTCCTTCGCGGGCGAAAAGCATCGTCATGACGGAAAATTGCTACAAACGCGCGTTGAGAGAGAGAGAGAGAGAGAGAGAGAGAGAGAGAGAGAGAGAGAGAGAACGTGTTGTCGGGATAATCGCACGAGGACTCAGATTCGATTTTAAACGAGAAAAATGTATGCAGAAGCTATACACTCTATATCGTGCTTAAAATAATTTCGTGCGACCAAAGTGGCGTTTAAAGTATAATAATAAATTTTTATACATCTCCATGCTCATATGCGATATATGCTTGTTTTCTGTTTCAGAGTGTCGGATGGGGAGAATGGTCACCATGGTCTAAGTGGTCGCCATGTACGAGGTAAGCCGTACTTATGAAGTACATTATTACATCGCCTTAATTATAATCTCTCGGTTATGTACTCTTAATTAGAATCATAAAGCGTTGTTTGATCGTCCTCGTCCTTTCAGTCGAGCCGAACTTACGAGATTATCATCATCAGGATTCAATCGGTATCCACTTCAATTACGTGTCTCAAACGAACGTTTGGAACGCTCGATACAACACTACTGTAAGAAATGATGTGTTAAATTTAGCATATTTCATGTGTCTTAAATTATCCACTCTCATTTATGTGTTAATTTAACATACAGCAAATATGTTAAAAAGTAACACGCATAATATGTAAAAAATTAACACAAAAATTTAACATTCGAATGCTGTCAAGAATCACAGTGTGTGTTAAATTGACATACAATGAATGTTACTTCAACATTTGAGAAAAGTAATCATCTATGATTTGATGAAATGAAAACGTTGGATTGACATAATCTATGTGTTAAAAATCCAATCTTTATATAATATAACACATGATAACTGTTATAATAAGGAAATTAACACATTTTAAATTTTAGGTGTTGGCTTTAACATATAAAGTATGTTAGAGCAAGAATTCATGCATTTACATATAAATTGTGTTATTTTAACATTTGAAAATGTTATTTTAACACTTGAAAATAGTTAATCTTAATTCAACACAAGAAAGTCTAAGTAACACAATAATGATATGTTAAATTAACACACGACTGTGTGACAAATTTAACACAAAACTTTCTACACACAAAAAACTTTAACAAAAGTACGAAACGTATTTAACTGTGTAAAGACGGGAAATAGAAAGATTTTTATTAGGCCGAAGTGCTTCGGGATCTCTTGTACGATCACTCTAGCGTTCTTTAAGTAAAATATGTACTAATAGACACACAGGATAAAGCGATGATTTTTGCCACTTTGAATATCTTCGAAATGTACGAGCGAGGAGGAGCATTTATCCCACGGAAATTACACGATAAGAAACGCTCGACCTCGCCTTTTTCTCAGCCGCGGAGCAGCTGTTGGAGCTTTTGGAAGATAAATTTCTCTCTTACTGTCATATTTGATGATGATTATAATCTATAACCTATAAGGTGATCAGATGATGGAGTTGTTGCCTCATCCTGTAAATAAAATAAAATCTTCTGTCTCTCGACGTGTGCATGCGGAGGAACCGTATGTTCCTCCTGTATTCCGGAAAGAAGCGCGCGGCACACGAGTAATATCGCACTCGCCTCTACGGTGCCTATTGTTTGCCGGCAATGCGACAAAGGGCGTCCCGGCGGTGGTCCGTCGTCCGCATGCAAGGCATGATCCAATCCCGCGATTTCTCATCGCCTGTTTCACGCGCGGTCTAATATTGAGTCCTAGCGGTAACACGGCCGGAATGTTAAGCGTCCCCCGGAACTCATTTCGGTCGGCCACCGTCGGCAATAAGTTTGTTCCTCCGGCCCGGCCTGGCCCGGCACGGCCCGGCTCGTTTTTCAGTTATACAGAAGTGGCCGGAAACGGCGCGAGACGTAGCGATTTATGGCACTTACAACTTGCGAACTGCACTCGCCCGGGGAAAAGCTTTATTGTATGATCTACAGCATCGCGCTATCGATGTTTCCGCGCCAGCTGCGCATATTTTCGCACGAGCGCAAGGCTTTATCCTGCCCGCCTTTTCCTCTCCCTCCTCCCCCAGCCCCTCAAAATACCTTTCGCCCCGCCATCTCGGCTATTGTAACTCTCGATTCCGCTAAAACGATAAACCCCGCGCGGTAATAACATTAACTGCCGCAACAACGGGGCGGGGATCGATCCCCGCGCGGCGATGCAAACCCCCTCGCAATGATTGGCGTCGTGCGATTGCCAAAAGAGGCGGCGATCTTATCGTTCGTGGAGATGACAGTCGTTGCATCCTCGGATGGATCGTTCGTCCGCTCGCGAAGCTATCGCGGCGATGGTCGAATCGTCGACGGGGCGAACTTGCCGCGCTGCGTTTCGTCACGTGCGCCGCTGATATCGCTGGAAAAATTAACGCGTTATTATCCGCGTGGATATTGAGCTTTGTAATTGCAAGTGATCTGTACGTAATATTACGTACATACGCACTCGCTCGCTCGCTGCTGTTGCGTTGTTATTCCGATCGACTAATTGTTTGCGCATCGGAATTATCATTCGTATCGGGTAATTGCTGTTTGCGTAGAATAATGCGATCAATATGAAAATTCTTCTGTGGCTCGAAAATTCGAGGCCGCAGTCGCGATTGATTCGTTCAGCCGGCGACGGCGCGCGGCTTAACGATGACGACTTGCACCGCATCGCCATGAGCAATCGATTGACAGTAGCTCGTTTGCACGTGGCAAACGTGCAAAGAGCTTCCACGATTTACACGTGAAACGTATACAACGAGCGTTCTCCATTAGCCTCGTTTTCTTTCGATTTTCGAGCCCACGAGAAATTTTCCGATGCAGCTTCATAGATGATCTTTTCCCAAGTTGTTTTTTATCCTTTCGGTTTTGCATCGCGGAGTATGGCTCGCTGTCTGAAATTTTAGATACGATTCCGCTCTGTTTACGCATACACACGCAACGAGAAACGTCCCGGATGAAATAATTACGTACGACAGCCGCGAATCACCGCCTCAATCCCCTTGATCCTCGCATATCGTCGGAACGAGAACGAATTTACGGCTATGTGATCCGTCGCGTCGCGTCTCATTTCGTTTAGCGCAGCGTCGGAATCTCGCGAGCTCGGCGTATGGTCGTGGGAAAGTCGGCGAGATTATTTACGGTTTATTGTCTGAGTGCGGAGAGAATTTTCGCGATTCGCAGAGAGACGTCGTAATTGGCGAGAACACTTCATATCGCGAGCGAGTTCCACGATAGCGAGTGTGTTTCATTGCCACCGCCGCCGCCATCTCCTCCTCCTCCTCCTCCTTCTCCTCCTCCTCCTCCTCCTTCTCCTCCTCCTCCTCCTCCCCCTCCTCCTCCTCCTCCTCCTCCTCCTCCTCCTCCTCCCCCTTCTCCTCCTCTCGAGCGGAACCAACTTATACTTGTTGGGGGTAACGCAATTTCCAGCGAATAAAGATCGTTCATGGAATTAGCGTGAAGTGGTAAATTGAATTAACTAACCGCGTCGCGCCGCCGCCGCCGCCGCCGCCGCCGCCGGTGAAACGTAATTAAACTCTTGACGATTTCTCTCGCAACGCCTTGATTATGAAAAGTTTATTGGACAAGCGTGCACGGGAAACACACCCGGTGCGCCCAAGCGCATTCAAGTAGTGCATACAGCGCGCCATGTCATCATACTTAATTCGCCGATGAATTCACACCCTCTTCTCTCTCGTTCGTCTTTCAGGACGTGCGGTGGCGGGATTGCACGGCAGCAGCGTCGATGCAGACGGAAACCGTGTAAAGGCCGGGTCTGGACCACCAAGTATAAAATCTGCAATCCGGAGGTGAGTGTTTTTTCTCATACGTATAATTCTCACGAGCGCACTTGCCTCTCGTCTTCCGCCTCTCGTTTAGAGAGATGCGGATATCAATCTCGACATGATTCCACCTCTCACTCGCTCTCTCTCTCTCTCTCTTTCTCTCTCTCTCTCTCTCTCTCTCTCTCTCTCTCTCTCTCTCTCTCTCTCTGCTCCTTCTTCATCTTCTTCCTCAACACGAAACTAAAAATCTCAGCGAAATTAGCCAAGAAATGTCGATTGCTTTTCGAAGATAGGCCCTTTGACTTCTTGCTGTGAAAAAACGCCGACCCCAAATTGATCAAAGAGTTCTGGATTTGCAAAATCTGGGTCACGTCGACCCAGTAATCGACGGAATACGAAGCGATTGACTCCTACCCTTCCCTCTTTCTCTCTCTCTCTCTCTCTCTCTCTCTCTCTCTCTCTCTCTCTCTCTCTCTCTCTCTCTCTCTCTCTCTTTCTCTCTCTCCCTCTCTCTCTCTCTCTCTCTCTCTCTCTCTCTCTCTCTCTCTACCAGACGCATTTAAGTTGAGGTTGATCGCATCATTGGTCCTCCCTCATGTTGATTACTGTTGTGCTGCGTTCACTGACATGTTTGTTGAACAAACAACTCAACTTTATAAAGCGTTGAACGGCTGCATTCGGTTCATATTTTCTCTTCGGAGCGATGCACATATCACGTCCTACCCCAACAAGCTCCGACAAGCTCCGTTGGCTAAAAATTGACCTTCGCCATCTTTACTTCGTGGGATGCTTCTTTTATAATCTGATCCACCTTTAACATCCACGAAAACTATACAAGGAAATCATCTCACGAGCTTATGTTACGAACAGAAGCACTAGAGCAGCACCGGATTTACTACAAATCCCGCAGCGCAGAACAGAAATGTTCAAACGCTCTTTTAGAGTAGTGACTGTCTTCCTGTGGAACAGTTTGCCTGGAACCATCAGAAGCTCATACTCAATACAGTCGTTCAAAAACGCGCTATATGAACTCCTCGTCGAGAAGTCCAATACGCTATAATCATATGAAATACAGCACTGGCGACCGTCATCACTAACCCCGACTGCCTAATTATATTACTCTATTACTTTATTTTACTCTAAATTAATCTACTTTTGTTTATACTATTTATTATATTATTTTTTGTACTTTTTCAAAATTATACCTTTACTTGTTTATACTTGCCTTGCATATTCTTTCAACTAATGTATAACTAATGTCAAAAATGTCAAAGATCATTTTTGACTTCGTTGCGCTTGAGGGAACACTGTCCCAGAGCGCTCAATAAATAACGCTTTCTCTCTCTCTCTCTCTCTCTTTCTCTCTCTCTCTCTCTGTCATTCGCTCTCTTTCTCTCTGTCGAACATAAAATAACTCGTTCGCGCCGCGACTGCGATCGCACGTGTACACTTAAACGCGCGTTTAAACGCACCTCCCGTGCGTTCCGTCGGTCGACGGAAGAAAAGGAGACGTGTGCGCGCTGAAGTGCGCCTCGCGATTCACAGTCTCGATGCGTTCTCGCGTATCGATCGGACATTTAATTGTATTGCGTTTTAACAACGGGGTCGCCGCTGTTTCGCGCTTATCGCGCATGGTGATTGCGAATTACTGAGCGCCAGGCTCGGGCGCGCGTTCTCCCGGCACAATGACGAGTAATAATGCAAACGAATTGCGCCGATTACGAACTAAATGACATTCATTGTCGCGAGAGGTTCTTAAATATTTCAGCCCGCGGTCCTGCGTGACTCGCCGGTGTGTATTCGCTCGCGTTGTCAATATTACATCGACCGCCATGTAAATTGGATACATGATAAATTCGATATCGGTGCCCCTGTATAGCACCGTGTGCATATATGCGCGCGTGTGTGTATGTGTATGTGTGTGTGTGCGTGTGTGTGTCTACCTCAGTGTGTAGGCACGTTCTGCACCGCGGCTACGGCCAATACGCACACCCTGCTGCAGTAAGCGGGAGGTATCCAGTGGGAGACGCGGGGATCCAGCTGACCTGACCCACATTCGTATCTGGGACGAGTTTCAGGGAGAATGCAATGCGGCTACGCGTGTCAAACAGTAGTTCCGCCGCGGACCGACGTGTGTCGTCCGGCCGCGTGTCTGATCGATATCGACCGATTATTCATTCGCTCGCATTTGTCCCGCTCGGCCCGATGAAATGACTCGTATATCGGCCGGCGTTATATTTATAGGAGACGGCGCGCGGACTTGTGTGAATCAAACGGTAACCCGAGTTGAGGAGATCAAGGAGAGGACGGTTCTTCATTAATTCACGAGCAGCGACGATTACACTTTGAATCGTTCGCCCATGCAGTCATTTTCTATTCGCGTGTGTCGCGATTGGACGACGGAGGAAGCGGACGTCTGGATGCGAAATTTGTCGCGTTTAGCGCGCCGCGCCCCGACGTTCGCTCATTTTGCCAATCTTTTTATTTCCTATTTTCGGTTGCTTGGCTCGCGGCATAATTCGCGACTGCATTGCGATGGTCTGTGCGTCCAGATTTTTCTCTTCGTCTCGACACGTTGACGGCCAATGTCGCATACGCGTGACTTTATCCCACCAATGACTGTTGCTTTATGAAGAAATATTGATATCATAAGTTAAATATTGAAAAAATTACCAAGTTTTTCTTAAATGTCTCAAAAAATATTAGGCAAACAAACAAATATTTCAGACAAAAGTTGTTAAAATTAATTCGTAGAAACAGATGATATAATAAAAACTTAGGATTTCTATTTAAGGAAAGCAATGATCGGTGAATATCTCGAAAGTGGCAACCATCTGTAAACAAAATGATATAATTGTTTCATGCCCTCTTGAAACCGTACAACTTTTGTTTGAAACATTTTTGCCTAAAATGTTAAGTTTTCGAGATATTTCGTCATTCCGGTACTTTTTATACACCCTGTATATATATATATATATATATATATATATCTAAGCGAGTTATTAAAATCTTCCGCGCACGCGCTAAGAGAACGCGAATCAGGTGTGCCAAAACGCGAAATTAACGCGCGAGGGAAAGCCGTAGAACCGTCGTTTTAGCCGATAGCGATTCGACCTTTAGCTAGGTGGCAAGCGCTCCTCTCGCGCCACGCTGAAACGTCGTACAAATCACGCGTGAGTCCGTCGAGTGACTGACGGCGAGAGATCGATCGAATAACGCGGATCGCAACCGGCTGCATTCCGAGCGAGCCGGCAATGATATGACGCACGGCGCAGCCGCTGATTCTTCCTGCGAGTACATTTCGCGATATGCCAAGTGCGCGCGGCAGTCCCATCAGTATCAGTTTCTGCGTCGCGTATCAATCAATCGGCGAAGCGCGACCGCCGACCGCGGCTGTGTATCTATTCGCGAAATCATCTCCGATCGTCCCTGCGCGAGACGAGGCGCACGGCAACACGCGGTGAGTCGAAATACTCGCGCTTAGCGACGGGAAATAACGGGAAATCAAACACGTGACAAGCGAATCGTTAGAAGCCGTGTTGAGAAATCCCGCGGTTTGTGTTTGAAATCTCTCCATGCTGCTCCATCTTTTCAGCTCGGTCGACTCGTGTCATTCGCGCGGAATCTTGTCGTGAAAGCGTCGGCCAACGCTCGACTGGAGAACCCCTCTCGTCGTTTTCGTGCGGTCGATCCAACAGGCGTAGTGAACACTTAAAGTTTTAAACAAGAATAATACCACCTAGCTGCGAAAATGGCGAATCGCCATATCGGATAACGACATATCGGATTCCGCATCTTTATCTCGTTAATTTCGCTTTTTAGCCCACTTTTTTAGTCACACACTTCCTTACCGCAACTGGGATTTTCCATTTGCCGCTCGTGGATTTTAATAGTTCGCTCTTAGATATTCTTACATATTTATTATCTATGATAAATATCTGATAAAATATACACATATAATTGCTTTTCACATAAACTTCAGAAAACTGATATCAAAGGTACCACTCGCTCGAGCTCGACGGAAGATTAAATTACTAAACCGCGTGGCGACAGTTTATTATTTTTACTCGCTGTTTCACTCGTATGGATTTCGTATTTCTTTTCTTTTCTGCAGAAACAGAAACATGAATTCCAATTTCCATCCAGAGCATGAGCAACGCCGATATGATGCTCGTGTTGTGATGGGAATTGGAATAGACGATATTGTGAAGCGATACTGTGAAATTGAGCCGTTCCGTGAGCGGCGATTAACGCGTCCGTCGTGTTAACGCGACGACGCTCGAGCCAAATTGACGTCGTTAAGCGCCGCGCCGCGCCGCGCCGCTCGGTGCCTAACGGCGCGCAGACCTTGCGAGGGATCGCCTACCAACGCCGAGATCTGCCGTAAAATCGTAAAAGTGCAAAAGTGCCGTAGGGCCCAGATGGGGGGATGCCTTTGTCGCGCGCGGTCGACGTGACATTCCGCCCGCGGGGCGATGTTCACCGCAGGTCGCGACGGGCAAGTGCATTCTACTGTGTTCGTACAAGCGGGCGCATGTAGATGCTCGCACACATACTCACGAGCGCGCAACAAAGGTATCGGTGCGGTCCACAAAGCCGCGTCGATCTTGCAGGCGAGACGTTCGTGCCACCCTCGCCCTCTTTTTCGTGCGTTATACCGGTCGCATACGTAACGCGTAATATCTTTCACTTAACCTAACCGAAACGCGCGTTTCATCGCGCGACGCTCCGTCGTCGACGGCGCGCAAATTGAACTCACTTCGGTGGACCTGCGTTAGCAGGATAACGCTGCGAGGAAGACGCAAAGTCGCGGAATGAGCGCCGCGATATCGGAGAACCGCACTGACTGGGCGGGCGCGCGCGCGAGCATGCAAATGAGCTCCCCGTCGTCAGTGATTCTTCGGTAACCGCCTTATTAAATCGTGCGATCGTCGACGACGTTCGCGACAAGGATGAGCGACAAAATCTTAATTACTTCGTTTGCGCGCGCACCATATCATCGTCTACTTCTTCATCTCGCCGAG